CGAAGCCCGTCGGTGACCGCCGGCGTTCAAGCCTCATCTTCGGACGTGACATCGTCATCGGTCCCGTCGCTGCCGTCGGGTCCCACCGACCAAACCCTAGCGGTGTTGTCCTTCGCCTCGTACTTGTACTCGTTGTCCCACGGGTCGAGCGGGATCGACTTCTTGTTCAGGTACGGGCCCGCCCAACGGTCCGCCATCTTCGAGTCACTGGGCTTCTCGACGAGGTCCTCGAGCGACTCCGGCATCTTCTTCATATCGAAGCGATACGTCTCGATGGTGCGGCTCAGCAACTGCACCTGGGCCTTCGCCGAGTTGCGGTCCGCTTTGTCCTGCTGCCCAGTGATGGCAAGCGTCGCCATCGAGCCCAGCACCACCAGGATCACCAGCACCAGCAAGACCTCCAGCAGCGTAAACGCCGCCAGAGCACGCCGCTTGCTTCTCAAGGTCATTCTCTTACGCCTATCCATGCAAACCTCTCAATCTCAAAAAAGTTATGAACCACAAAGGAACGAAGGAACGACGGGAAGCCGCGTCGGTTCTCGTCTTACTTCGTTCCTTAGTTCCTTTGTGGTTCCTCTTGTGGAAGTGTCATAGGGTGCCGCCGGCGTTGATGATTGGCATCAGTAGCGCGATCACCACCACCAAGACGGCGCTCGCTAGGAGCACCAGCATCAACGGCTCGATGAGCCGCACCGCGAGTTCGATCTTACGCCACGTGGCGCGTTCGAGGTTATTCGCTACCTGTTCGAGAACGGTCTCGAGGCTGTTGGATTGTTCGGCGACGGCGATCATCTCGCAAACGTCGCGCGGGAAGTCTCCGCTGGCGCCGAGCGGCGCGGCGAGCGACTCGCCCGACTTGATATTCTCCGCTGCGTCACGCACGACTCCCGACAAGACGCGATTGCCGGCGGAGTCGGCCGCGATATCCAGCGCGCGGACGATCGGCACGCCCCCCTTGAGGAGCGTTCCCAACACGCGGCACAACCGCGCGACCGAAAGGCTGCGACTGATCGGACCAAACACCGGGGTGTTGATGCGGACGCGGTCGATGATGTCGCGGGCGCGCGGCGTCACCATCCACTTCGACACGCCATACCCGATGCCGCCCAGCGCCGCGAGCACCAGGATGCCATAGCGGCCGAGAAAATCGCTGAGGTTGAGCAGCGCGTCGGTGACCCACGGAAGCTCGCCTCGTTGGCGCATCTTATCGAAGATCTCCGAAACCATCGGCACCGCGAAGACCACGAGTCCCGTCACCACAAGCACGCCGATCACCGACAGGATCACGGGATACGCCAAGGCGCCGACGACCTTGCCGCGAAGCTCAGCTTGTTGCTCGGTGAACGCCGCGACGCGGTCCAGGGCGTCTTCGAGGAAGCCGCCTTCTCCGCCCGCGCGGATCATACTGACGGCCAATTCCCCGAACGCCCGCGGGTGGCGGGCCATCGCTTCGGCGAGGCTCGAGCCCTGCTCGACTTGGCCGTAGACGTCTTCTAGCACGGCTTTGAGCGCCTTGTGCGACGCCTGATCCTTCACGACCGCTAGCGATCGCAAGAGCGGCACGCCGCTCCTCAACAACGCCGACAGTTGGCTATAAACCGGCGTGACCTTCGCCGTCGGCACGCTAATCGATCCACCAGCCCCAGCGGTGATAGAGCCCTTCGCTGCCTCAACCTTTACCGGAAAAAGATCCTTAGCCGAAAGCTGAGCCATCGCCTCGCGCGCAGACCCAGCGCTGAGCGTCCCCGTGAGGAGCTCGCCGGCGAGACTGCGGGCGGTGTAGGCAAAATCTGGCAAGGTCTTTCGTTGGTTCTTTTGTTAACCACAGAGCCACAGTGGGCACTGAGGACGCACTGAGACGCGAATGTTGAAGAACTGCATGATTAGAAAAACATCACGTCGATCCGGTTCATCCTGTCCAAGAAAATCCTCTGTGCTTAACTCCGTGCCTTCCGCGCCTCTGTGGTTGACCCGTCTCTAAGTCCTATCACCACGAGTAACGCGCACAACCTCATCGACGGTCGTCACGCCGGCGATGCATTGACGCCAGGCGTCTTGACGCAGCGTGCGCATGCCCGAGGAGAGGGCCGCTTTACGGATCTCCCAGCTGCTTGCGCGGTCGTGCGCTAGCTGCCGGACGGGGTCGGTGGTTTCGCACAGCTCGAAGATGCCTTGACGGCCGGTATAGCCCAGTTCACGGCACGCGCGACAACCCTTAGCGCGGAACAGCTGACCGCCCGCCGCTTCGAACTCGTCCCACGGAAAGTCATGCGGCAGATCATCGGTGGTGGGCGTGTAAGCTTCGCGGCACTTGCCGCAGAGGCGACGCACGAGCCGCTGGGCCATCACCGCCTCGATCGTGCTGGCGACGAGGAACGGCTCGATCCCCATGTCGATGAGCCGTGTGTAGGCGCTCGGCGCATCGTTGGTGTGTAGGGTGCTGAACACCAAGTGACCAGTTAGGGCCGCTTGGATGGCGTTCTCGGCGGTCTCGTGGTCGCGGATTTCACCGACGAGCACCACGTCCGGGTCGTGACGCAAGATCGAACGCAGCGACGCGGCAAACGTCAGGCCGATCTTCGGGTGCACCTGGATCTGCGCGATGCCGGGAAGCTGATACTCGACCGGGTCTTCGGTCGTGATGATCTTGGTGTTTTCGTCGTTGATCTCGGTGAGGGCGCTGTAGAGCGTCGTCGTCTTGCCGGAACCGGTCGGACCGGTGACGAGGATAATGCCGTGGGGCGCGCGGATCAGTTCGTTGAGCTTGTCGTCGAGCACCTCGCCCATGCCAAGGGACGCCAGCGAGAACTTCATGCGTCCCTTGTCCAACAGACGCATGACGATCCCTTCGCCGTGGATCATCGGGATCACCGAAACACGCACGTCGACCTCGCGGCCTTCGACACGCAGCTTGATGCGGCCGTCTTGCGGGAGGCGTTTTTCCGCGATGTTCAGATGCGCCATGATCTTCAGGCGGCTGGTAATCGCGGCGCGGAAGTGATTGATCTCCGGCGGGGTGGGCTGTTCAACGAGGAGGCCGTCGATGCGGTAGCGGATGCGGATGCCGACCGCCTCGGACTCGATATGAACGTCCGACGCGCGGGTCTGGATCGCCTCGAGCAGGATCTCGTTCACCAGCCGGACGACGGACGCCTCTTGGGCGCCCTCGGCGAGTTCGGCGGCTTCGGCGTCGATTTCTTCGAGCAGCTCAACGCCGCTCTCTGCCTGCCGGGCGGCTACCAGGCCTTCGACCGTCTCGCTGCCGACGCCTAGGTGGGCCTTCAGCCGTTCGGCGATCTGCCGGCGGGTCGCCAGGAGCGGCTCGATCGAGAGACCCGTGATGGCGCCGATTTCGTCGAGCGCCTCGAAGTCGAGCGGGTCGCTCGTGGCGATTGAGAGCGTGCCATTTTGGCGGCTGACGGGGAACATCCCGTGGCGGTGCATCAGCCGCTGTGGGAACGCGTCGAGCAGCGACAGGTCGGGCTGGCAGTGGTTGAGGTCGATCAACTCGGCGCCGATCTCCGACCCCAGGGCGGTCAAGACGTCCTCCTCGGCGGCGTAGCCCCGCTGCACGGCGACCTCATGGAGCGGCTTGCCGCCGGCCTCTCCGTTGAGCGCACGGAGCTCGTCGGCCCGCTCTTGAGAGAGGACGTTGTGTTTCAGCAGGACGGCGACCGAGTCCACGCTTGTCTTTCCGCAGGTAAATGGGGGTCGGAGAGCCCCTGATTATCAATGACCAGACGCCGGGCGGCAAATGAGAGCCGCCCGGCGCTGGTATTCGTCTTCACAAAGCCGCTGATTGGCCAGAATATTTAGGCGATTCCGTTGAAAATCGCCGTCGGCGCCGGATCAAAGCTCAGGCTCATCGGCAGGCGCGGGACGTCCGCCACCACGTCCTCCCCGGCCCCGCCCGCCTTCGCGGTCGCCACGACGGCCACCCCGATCTCCGCGGTCGAAGCCGCCGCGGCCGCCGAACTGCGGCTGCTCGCTCATGGAAAAGGGCGTGCCGGTCATCTCCTCCAGCGTCGCCCGTTGCTCGCTGGTGAGGACTGTCAGCAGCTCTTCGCGGGCCTCGGCACGGGCAGCGGCCATCTTCTCCCGCATGGCGGCCTCAACCTCCCGAGCTTTCTCACGCATCTGCTGCTTCTGCTCGTCGGTCAGGCCGAGCTTGTCGGCCAGCGGGCCGTTCATCAGCGAGCGGGCGCCGCCGTTGTTGATCTGCTGCTGGGTCTCGATCTGGCGGAGGCGGTCCATCTGCTGGGTGGTGAGGACTTCACCGAGCTTGGTCTCCACTTCCTTCCGCATCTCGTCGAAAGTGGCCCGCATGGCCTCGAAATCAGGCCGCCCGCCGCCGCGCCGACCGCCCATTTCCTCACGGATCTTGTCGCGCATCTCCTCTTCGATCGCTTGCAGTTTCTCGACTTGGTCGTCGACGAGTTCGAGCTCAGCCCGGACCTCGTCAGAACGGAGGAGCATCCCGATGCCGCCGCCGGGGCCGCCACCAGGACCGCCGAAACCACCCCGCCCACCGCCAAACCCGCCCGGCGGCTGGGCCGTCGCGGCGGTCGCCAGGGCAAACACCAGCGCCGCGGCCGGCGCAAAACGGGTCAAAACTCGTGAAACGTCCATGGTCGTCGTCATTCTCCAGAAAAGTCGGGGCACGGGTAACGTCTCGGCAGCCGCGACGCGGGGCTGACCGTCTCTAAGGTACTAAACCCCGGGGCCCAGCGATTGGCGCCGCTGAATCCCCGGTGTTTTCGCTCGAGGACCGTTTGAGCCGCGCCCGTCAGGTAGCGGAGTCGGAATGGGGAACTCCGCTTCCTGACGGGCACGGTTCAACGACACGACCGATCGTGAAAAACACCGGGGTTCTACGGCCGGGATTGCGGTAAGGCCGCCCGACGCCGTAGTTTGCGCAAAACAGGCCGCCATCACTGTGCTGTGGACCACGCCCCATGGACCCCGTCTTGCCGACCGGCAGCGATCAGCTGATCACCAAGGAGAAAATCGCCCGCGACTGGCTCACCCGGTACACGGGCATGCCCCTCTCGGAGTTCGGCGACTACGTCCTGCTGACCAACTTCCGCGATTATGTCCGCCGGTTCGCCGACCGGTTCGGCTGCGAGGTCCGCGGCGAGGACCGCCCGATGCAGGCCGCCACCAACAGCGACGGGCTGACGATCATCAACTTCGGGATTGGGTCGCCCAACGCCGCCACCGTTATGGACCTGCTGACGGCCCACCGGCCAAAGGGGGTGCTCTTCCTGGGGAAATGCGGCGGGCTCAAGCACTCGACCGAGATCGGGCACTTCATCTTGCCGA